GGTCGCTGCACACGGAGTTGTACGGCCACACCTCCCAATCCTGGCGAGCAGACATGCAGGCATACGATGACGCACAGAGCGATAACATGTCCCACAAGTCAGTTAAGGATAATCAGTAATATTACTTTAAACATTATTGAATTTTCACAATTTTATTACCTTATTGGTAATTCAATTAGACTATTGATAAATCGGTACCTATCAATTAATTAAAAATTGTATGAGCGATAGAAGTATTGAACATATTTTGCCTGTTTTGATTAATCAAAATATTGATTTTAAAATGAAAGGTTGCCACGTGTTTCAATAAACGATGTCAACTCCACGTGGTGCACCCTTGACAACGTACTCATACGGCAAAAAAGGTCTACAACCCGACAATTGACTTCAATAAACTTTGTCACGTAAATGAAATTAAATGTAGTGGCTAATTTTAGAAGAAAGTTCTACTGAAAAAGTGAGATTACACCGAATCCACGATTTGAAAGAGCTCCAGCATTGACTAATTCAATGTCCTAGCAAATTTTAGATTCTTTTAACGAATACTAGAGCAAAATATTGAAATTCTGTCCAATTAAATTTAGTTACTTGTTCATCTGTTTTTTAAGACAGTACATTGGAGGATCAACTATTAACATTTTCCACTGCAAAATCAGAGTTTACGGGTCTGATTTCTGCGGCATGCAGCATGTGGACTGGTCAGTCACGCAGTTTAAACTTGGCAAATAGGAAGGGTTCCACTATGCTATTCCTTCTCTCAATTGGGTGTAGAAAAATACTGCCTTCAATTGCATTTTGGGCAAAATACACCTCTACCAAATCAGGGGATCACGAGAACGTTATCTAGAAGTGTCCATTCAATGTCATGAAAGGCTAGAAAGCAGGTTAATTTCCTTTAGTTTGAATTTCTCTTAAAGCGGTTCCCAGTTACCTTCTCATATTCACATCGAGAGTTGATGACACTCTCCTTAATATTATTAGAAATTAGTAGCGTCCAGAGCGATAATTCACTTGTTCTGTATGGGAAAGTATTCCATGCCTGAATATAAATTGAGTTTTCAATTACGATGTTCGCTTATTCGAAGGATTTCAGCACCTCTGACAGTTATGGCTATAAATGTCAAAAGTAACATAAAATAGCTACTTTCATCAAAAAAAACCACTAGTCAGTGTGAAAATAAAATCTCCAAACAATTTATTTTATTATGTGCTTGTTATTTCTTAAATTTCATAATAAGTTTTTATAACAAGCCTATTGTGATTTTTTAATTATTCTTTACAAAGTTATTTCCAAAACATTTCTTTAATAAAATAGGGGTGTGTGATAGACTTACCTCCACGTGGTGCACCATGGGCAACGTATACTCATACGGCAAAATATTCTATTAACTGGTAGTTGACTTCTGACTTCAAACCACCAGCACCCCACTGTATATCGTATTCGACTACTTTCACAGTACTCACCTTACCTTTTCTCTGCCTTCGTGTCCTTTGTGCCCCTCTCTTTTGTACCTGTAAATCATTATTCTGTCCCCCTTCACGACTTTTGTCACTTCGATGTTCCCCCTCCTCTCTGTGAAGCCGGAAGTCAGCTAAAGGGCTAATGATAACTATCAAAACGCCTACCATTTGAAATAAATAAATATATATATATATATTTTGAAATAAATAAATGTTATGGCATTGAGTGACTCAGCTAAAGGGCTAATGATAACTATCAAAACGCCTGCCACTTGAAATAAATAAAACTTTCAAGAGCGAAGGTTTGTAGCATTCATCTTCTCGTATTCCATCATTTTCACAAACTATTTATTCGGTAATTTGTCAGTTTACTGTGATTAAATGATTGTTCTACTGCTATCGCTACCAACACAGAGTGGATAAGCAATACGGAGCACATAATTTCTCGCAAAATTTGAATTTGGCGGGGTGTAATCGTGTAATGCCGTGGTAGACAACCAAGTATAAGAATCAAATTAGAATGAAATCGGAAAATTACACATTATTGTGGCGAAATAAACAACAAATGACATGCATCTTCCTTTTTTACTTAATTAATTAATGATTATCACCTACAAAAAGGTAAGAAATTTGCAATTTTTCGAATTATTTGAAACAATGGAAATTAGTTAACGGAAAATAAAAAAAGATACAACAAGTAAACCAGGAGTAAATGTCTAGATATCAGGGACTCTTGTTTATCTGTTTTTGGTTTCAGATTTGAAGGTAGCTTGCGCTAATGTTTAAAAATCCAATTGTATGTTTTTTTCATCTGTATTCACTATTACCTTAACGAAAGGGTAAAAGAAAATTTGAGATATCATCATTTATATAAATTTTGCTGAATGATTTTTTGGATGAACAATTTCAACTTGATGATTAAAAAGAACCTACTATCAATCCGATCAGCTATTTCCTGCTCCAAATTGCTATATGTTGTGTCCATTTAAACATTGTTAATAAAGTAAAAAGCAAATGCAAAATTCATACTTTGTGTTCAGGACGATTACGACTGAGCAGGTGTGATTTCATTTGTCCCAATCCAGGAGTTCTTACAACTAGCTGAATTTTACTACTAGAGGCAGAATTAGCCATTGCCGTCCGAACAGAATCCAAAGAATTCACCATAACACCATTGAATTCAACAATCTCATCTCCTGGAAACAATTTCCCATTCCTATCAGCTAAGGAATCCACAAGGATACGTTGGATAATAATCCGTGGAGGTCCCTTAGCATCGTCCTTTGTCTTGTCTCGAGAAAGAAGGGACAAAAAAGATCCACTTCGAGTTGGCGGTTGAAGAAAGGAGTTTTCAGTTGCTAGAGTTATCCCCAATGGTTCTCCAGTTATTCTGCGCGTTATATTGACAGTTCGAAGCTTTCCAGGTTCAGGGAGGGTGCCTTCGATGTGGGAAGGCAATGCTGTGTGCTTGTTTCCACCCTGACGTCCAAGACTACGAGACTGATAGTGATTATTATTTTGGAGTCTACGCGGAGATGTTTCTGCTGCTGAAGGGACACCTGGATGAGGAGTTGTAGAAGAAGTCCTGGGTGGAGGATGGGGAAAGGCAAGGTCAACGTAAGTATGCTCTCTATTTTCTGAATGACTTCTTTCTCCTTGTTCCCGTGTATTCTGTCGAATCTAAAATGCGAGCGCAAAGTTAGGAAATTTCATAATTGTTTACACATTTCATGGGATACATATTTACTAAACAGTCAAGTATGATAGAATCAACCACAAACACCCAGTCACTTCCTCATTGGCCATAGCATTTTAGCCATCTGATTGGACGTGGAGTTACAGCATTTAAATAAATCGGAAAATAACAGGAAATATATAATGTATTAAATTTATACTTTTGCTATAAAAGGTTTATCCGTATCTGGCCAAATAATAAGGAAGAGGGCTTGAAGCATTGTGAGAGACATTGGTTGACTACATTTCTGTCATATGCAAATGACATGATTAGGCAGTACTGTGTGAAAGGTTCCCTTCAGCCAAACTAATTAAAATACGAAAGCGTTACTAGGCGATTCGATTTTGTCTCACCAGTTTAGATAATGAGACCAGGGTATCTTGACTTTATGCATTTTTAATAAAAATGTTTAAATTCTCAAGCAATACTTTAACATTTCATTGTTTGAACTAATTAATTCATTAACTATAATTAATATAAGCTGACCGAAAATGCATTTTATTTATAAAAATAGTTAGAAACGAAGATGTTTGAGTTAATTATACTTAACCTTGAGATTCTTTTGATGAAATCAGTGAAAACTTCCTGATCATTGCGTATAGCTGGTAGAGCTAAATATTTTGTAACTCATAATTCAAACTTCAATTGTTATGCCAGTTTCCTATTCCTCCAATTATTCTTTTTTAATTAACTTTAGAAAAATGAAGGAAAAGAGCATATTAAATAATGAAAAATAAATTCATTTGCCAACATAAATTTAACCTTCTTATAGGCAGTTTAATAAGCTAAGATACATTTTTCCAGAACCTTTTCTATGTAGTACTTTTAAATATTCCCATAATTTCATTCCATTTGTTATAAACTACAATCTAGCACATTCTGCCTTATTTAAAGTTCTTTTAAACACGGGTTGCTCAAAGTATTAAATTATTATTAATAGACAAAAATCACAGTGCACATTCCCAAATTTGAACAATAGGTATATACTGAAGCAAGTGTGATGTCCTGTTAATATGGGTCGACTCATAGGTAGAAGCGGTTATCTGGACTTATTGCTAGTCTTGGTTTCCAGATATGGTAAAAGGGTTTTTTTAAAAAATGATCACCTATAAATAAATAAATGATACTTCAAATATAAAGTTTTCTAGTCACAAACTGGTGAAAAGAGATTGGAATTAAGGCGACAGCACAGGCTTAACTAGTTTCCCTCTCTGAAAATGAACGATTCATAAGCCGTCCTTTTTGCTTAGTGCTTTTATCAACAAAGATTTCCTCTTCTAACTAAGAGTCCAAAACTCCAAACTAATAAGAAATTCAAGAAAGCAAACAAAAGGGAGTGATATGGGTTTGCTTTGATGTTTACTAATGTAAATGCCCAACAGCAATGCGAAAAGGCATCAATTTGATGATATATGGGTTGAAAAAATAAAAAAAGACTATATAATTATTCTAAGGTAGAGAAAAATTTTGTACCTAGATATTTATGATTAAAATTCGGGGTGTGCGATAGACTTACCTCCACGTGGTGCACCCTGGGCAACGTATACTCATACGGCAAAAAGTCTATTATCCAGCAGTTGACTTCTGACTTCAAACTACCATGACCAGACTGTATGTCATATTCGACCACTTCCACAGCACTCATCTTACCTTTTCTCTGTCTTTGTGTCTGTCTGTGTATGTTACATCTGTGAATCATTATTCTGTCTCCCTCTCGACTTTTGACACTTTGATGTTCCTCCTCCTGTCTGTGAAGCCCGTAGTCAGTTACGTGGCTAATGATAACTATTCGAAATGCCTGCCATTTGAAATAATAATAATAATGATTAAAATTATACAAAAAAGCTTACACGATTTAAATCAACGGAATGAAGCCAACCAGCAATAGGTTAAATAACCAAATAATGTTTTTCAAACTTACAGGGGTGTATTCGTGGTCTTCAGGCAGCAAGGAGATTGAAAATGGTTGGTTCAGTGTATCATCTGCCTCACTGATTGTGGTTTCTTCGGCAATAAACGCTGGTTCCTTCTCAACGTACAAAATGTCAGTAGCTGAATTCCCATCAACGTAGGAGGTGTAACGATAATTTCCAGTATCATCGACAGCAACAAGAAGTTCCTGTGTTTAAAGGGAGCTAAGTTTAAAATGGCATAAAAATAAATCATGCTACTTTAATTTATAAGTAGACAAAAATTAAAGTGTAAACTTACACATTACATTGATTTTTACAATTTAGAGGTTGCTAAAGTTATCACTATGCCAGTGTCATAAAATTATAAATAATCAATTGTGAAAATCACGAGTCATATTGGATTATTGAAATCTAATGAAAATATGGAAAGGAATTTAGTCCTTTCTTTTTACTACTAATTTGTCCTCATATATTTATATTATTTTTAAAATTATTATTTGAATTTACGATACCTCAACACTACCTCCGGACAAAGTAAAAAATGAAAATGTAAAGTTCATAAAAAGAGATTGTACATATGCTTTAGAATTCAAAAATTGGTACCTCTCTGTAATAACTAGTGGTTAGAAGCAAGGGGTCCTTGTAAGCATCATCTAAAAAATAATTATTTGATTGATTTTCCTTAGAAACCTACTGGAAATACTTTTAGTTAAATCCCCCTCCCTCAACGCCTGGCCCAATATCTGAATTTCCAGACGAATTAGTCAGCAGCAAGGTGATTTTGTTGGCAACTGCTTATTGGTTAAAGCTTAGAATTAAATATAAATAAATGAAAAAAAACATAAAACAGTAAAATGTAATAACCCATAAATGAATTAGTTCGAGCTTATTTAATTGAAATTGGAATTAATGTTGATTAAACTCTAGTAATTTCTGTTGATAAGTTAAATATATCATTCAAGGAGTCTTTATTAACTATGAAATCAAATCAACAGGCGAACATTTTTTTAAAGTAGCGTGATATAACTTATTCCTCTATTCTTGGAGTCATATGGTAAAATTTGAGGATCAGAAAAACACGCATTAACTTCATATGATAAGTTAATGCTTCTGGAAAAGAAACGAGACAGAATTCTTGGCGTTTAAATTTCAGCGCACACTTTTTGCCAACCCTTCCTCGTGTTTCCTAAAGCTGATTTAAATGCTTTCCATTAATCGTTCTGAACTTTTATACAAATATCTGAGTATGCAAGACATTAAGTGCGGCAATATTTTTTTTCTATCTAAGCATGATTCAGTATTCTATGAGTTACGCTCTAAATAAGCTGAAATTGGTCAAGATGTAACGAAAGTAACGAGGCTATAAATAATCGACAACAAAGGCTTGTTCATCGTGTAGAAAGTGAGCACCCTGAAACTCCGAAATGAGAAAGGCATTGCAATACTAGAAAGTCTAATTCCTGACACAATGATCTATTTAAGTAATAGACATGACTTGACTAAAGACAATTTATTTATATCAAATGGCAGGCGTTTTGATGGTTA